AGGGAGGTGGGTAGTCCCTGGGCCAGGTCGCAGGTGAGTGCTGGGTTGGTTGGTACCAAGAGCACTGGACCAGAGAGAAGGCAGCAAGGCAGAGGAGGGGCAGAGCCACGTATTTAGGAAGGATTTGGCATTTTCCAGAGGGGTTTTTCTTAGGAATTTGCACGGCCCGCCGCCTCCGGGCAGCTTGCTGGGGCTCTTCCCCGCCCCTTCTTCCAGAGCGGGTCGATGGGAACTCGGGTTTCCTTGGGCCCGATGCCGCCAGGCTGCCCGCGCTCCGCAGGCCTCTGCGTACAGGCCTTTCCCGTTTGCAGAGAAAGGGAAAAGCGCTCGTCCCGGCCGTGCGGGCAGGGAGACTGTGTGTGCCGAGGAAGCCTAGTCCTCCCCGCAGAGCCGAACAACTCCCTGACAGTTGAGTAAATCTCGCCGGAGCGCGCAGGCTGGAAAGGGTGTCTCCTGGAAGTGACTCCTGTAATCGGCGACCGAGATCCCCCGTGGTTGCCCTGCTGCTGAGACCTGCGGGTCGCGGAGAGTAGCAGGCCGCGGGAAGCTTTGCCTCTCTCCTCCAAAGGGGAACGTGGAACTTTTGAACCCTTTAAAGTGATCGATCATGCCCCACCAGAGAGCGGCTCCACCCCCTATCCCCACCTCTGCCGCCTTTCCTTGTCACCCTGGCTCTAAGTGTGCACGGAGGACGCGCGAGGCGCGTAGGTCGTGAGTTTGGAGATGTTACAAACGCGAACATTCAGCGCCAGAGCAGCTGTCACGATTTGGGGTGAATCTCGACGTGAGAACCCCGAACGGGAGGGTTGGCTCGTGCCTCTTTGCCCACAGCCTTCTACATACAAGACGCCAGCGACAGCTTTTCCTCTGCAAACCCACCCCTGCACGCCTGCTTCCCTCCAACGCAGTCCTCGCTGGAGCCGGGCTCTGCACCGGGAGGCTTCAGGGAATCGAGGATAAAGGCTCACAGCTCTGCGAGGGAAGTTGATTATTAATGCGGGCTGCTCGGGACTAGTAACACGCTTGACGCCCTCGGCTTTGGGAACTGTCCCGGAGCTGGGATGGAGGCAGGGATGACCCAGGGTTGCGACTGGGAAACTCGAGTTGCAGAGGCTCCCGGACGTATCTGAGTGGGTTGAGTAGTGCTCCCAGGGCAAAGGTTGGCTCTTCTTCGCCCCCAAATAAATCCTAGTTAACTAGTGTAGACTAAACACATTAGTATTATTTTAAATGGGTAAAATAGATAGGATTGGAAGTGGGGGCATATCAGCTGGACCCAGATGGGGTCATACTTCCCCTCCAGAGACAAATCAGGGTGCTTCCAATACGAAAATAGAAATGTAACATTCAACTGGACGAATTAATTTTTGACGGATTTACGGTATGATTTTCTTTCAAGTGGTATTCATTGGTTCTTTGGATCCATAGTGCAATCCAAAGACAGAAATATAAACAAGCACTTTCTGCTTTGCGGAAACCCTTTAACAGTATCTCCCAAAGAAAGATCAAGACACTTTGTGAATTTTCCCCAGATAATGCCTCATATTCCGAATGACTGATCAGAGAACTCCGGTATTGTTAAATAAAATGAGAGGAAGGCGAGTGACGTGGGAGTCGAACAATGGCATTTCTGAATCAGTTTGCTTGATTGACATTTGGGAGCTTCATGACCCCAGGGAATAGGACTCATTACGGTGAATACACCAAAACATCAACCAAGATTAGAACTCTAGATCCTGTTTTAATCCCATTTCAGTCTAAATTATAGCAAGGAAATATAAAATCCAAGAGGAGAGAATTACTACATCATATATTGATCTAAAGTTTTAATCGTTCTGAGGGGAAAATAAAAGTGGAAAGCCAATATACTTTTCAACTGGAATAGCACTGACAATTAAGTAAAATGCATGGGTTTGGTAGGGTGGTTACCAAGAATATTTGTGTAGTATAAAGCATTTTATACTTATTTGGGGAGACACCTAACTAGAGAAATCTTGGTAGGGAGTTTGTGTGTGAGGGTGTGTGTGTGTGTGTGAAAAACATAAATCCCCTCCATTGGTTAAAAAATGAAGATCATCAGTAAAGTGATGTGAAGAAATAACGAAGCAGCCTCAAAGCTAGTCTAAATTTCTGTCATTATTTGGAAATTTATGACCCAGGAGGAGAATTTTTTTTAATGTCAAAAGTTGTGTTAACACTTACATTTAACCCAGGAAATTGTGAGAGCTGATCTTCAATTCCTGTTGGAAAAGGCAATGTGTTTGAGCAAAGTCTATTTTTAACAATGGGAAAGTGTGAGATAATGTGGTTGTTTGTTAAGTGGGAGTATTATCTATCTATGGCAACTTCATTACACAAAAAATTTTGATTCTTTGGTGGAACTCATTCTCAAATCTTACAAACTTGAGAAGCTGGAGGTCCCAAGTATTATTAAACTGAACCAACAGATCAGAGAAACACAAAGCTGTGTAAAAGATATAGTTATAGTCGACTATTTTTTAGTAGTTAATTATAGCAAAGGGGAATGTAGCAGTAAGATATGAAAACTGAGCAAATGTTATAAATCATGGAATAAGAAAACAGTTCTTGTACACTGTAACTTCACAATCTTACATTTTGAGTGAGAGCTTTTAATGAGTAGTCTCTGTGTTTCATGGGAAGTGGGAGTCATGAGAATTATTTATGCAGCAAGAAGGAACAAAAATTAATTATTAGGAGCTCAGTAATCACCAAATAAACTCTGAGCTTTGAGGTTAAAAATAGACGACTATCTTCATGTTCAATTATACAGTATCAATTACTAATACAACTGATGTTTCAGCGTCTCAGTGCGATCAGATAGCATCTTCTGTGGAGATATCTCGGTATTAATTAATGACTGCTTTATTCTCATTATTCACAAGGAAAAATAGGGGTCATGTCACATTAAAATTAAGATTATCTTAGTTTATCTGGGCTCTTAAATAAAGATCATTCAAAGTAATTATATTTCGAATTACCAGAGGTAGGCAATTTATCTCGTTATTATTTTTTGTTGTTGTTCAAAGACGGGAAAATAAAGATCAGAAATAAGCAAAGTTTCATTTTGAAGATAGAAAGACCCAAACAAACATGTCTTGACTTTAGCAATATTTCCCTTGCTAAAGGGGGAATGAGGGGGCTGTAAAAGACGTGACTTTGCAAAGTCAAGTCCTTTTTAAAAGACTCGGATCGAAATTCTTGCTATGCAACAAGGATTCAAGTTTGATTAATTTTCTGCAAGCGACGTGACAGCGGTATTTTAAAAGATTAATTAAAATTGAAGTGATACGGAGCAGGAATTCAACCTGCAGAGGCGTCCCTGGCGCCTTGGGGGTCTTTGCAAGCGAGTCCCAAACCCGAACTGTGGACTTTCCCGAGCCTGGGACGCAACTCCCGGTCTCCTGGAGAGGAACGCGGAATTTGGCAGGGCGCCCGCCTGGCCGCCTGGCATCCCGAGCTGGCCGCCAGCTCTCCGGGGTGGGGACGGGGTGTGTCCCAGGGAACCCGCTGAGGAGAGAACAGCCAGCCGCGCTCTTGACAAGCCAGTGAGGACCAGGGTCACGCCGACAGGCGGGAGAGGGCTCCGGGCAGCCTCGAGTTGACCGTCCTGGGTCGCGTCTGCTTCTCCTGGGGAGGGGGCACCTCCTTTGTCACAAGGCTGGTGCGGAGCTCCCCACGGGCGCCAACGCAGGGATGCAGGGGTGCAGGTCGCGTGGCTGGCACTCTGCAGAGGCGCGCCCACAGTGCCGGGGACTCGAAGGGCTTGGCCTGACGGAGCAGCCCTGCCTGGTGAACTCGGACGCGCGGCTCCTTGGAGGCCTTCCGCCACCTCGGCCACATCCTCCCACCTCTACGCTCACTGTCCCCTCCCCCCGCACCCCCGTCCTCTCGCTTCACTCCGCGACGCCTTCACCCGAGGAAGAAATGAAGCTGAATTCAATTGCAACTGTACTCTAGAAGGCAGAATCGCCGAGCTCTCGGGGTCGCGGGCGGCGGAGGGGCGACGCGGGTGGCGCTGCAGGGGCGGGGGGAGGGGAAGAAAGGGTTCGTTTGCAATTAGTCTCCCTACAAACGACGCGGCTCCCTCCTAACTGGGGGTCCAGGGCTCAAAGGGGAGAGGCCGCGCCGCGCCTCGTTGCCCTGGCTGTGCGCCCGTGGGCCCCACGAGGACGCGGCGGGGACGCGGGGTCCCTGCTGCGGCGGCTCCTACGACCTGGGGCAGCTCGGGGAAAGCCCTTCCTCGGCGGCGGGGCCTACGGGTCGGGGCCGGGAAGGGTCCCCGGAGATTCTCCACGCCTGGAAGAAGACGTGGTTTCTCCTCTCACGTCTGCCTCTCCCACCCTCGTCCCCAGACCTGGGAGGTGGCGCAGTGGGAGGGAGGAGGGCATGCGGATGGCGCAGGCTGGGGAGCCGAGCTCGAGCGCCGGCGGAGTCTGAGTCCGAAAGGAAGCACGAGGGCGCGATCGAGGGGTCGTGGGGCGAGGGGGACGCCACTGCGGAAGGCGGGGGTATGCGGGGGCACGAGGCGACAGTCCCTTCTGTGAGTGGCGCGGGGGGATCTCTTCCCTGGGGAACCCCCACCCGGGAGCGCCCAACCTCAAGAACAAAGGGTCTGGGAAGCTCGGTCGGGGTCGGGGAGCGGAGGTGGAGGGAGGCAGGAAGGCGGGCGGTGGGGGCAGGGAGGGCGCCTCCCCACGTTTCCTCTCGCGGCCGAATGATGGAAAGCTCCCTCCAGCAAACGCCTCGCCGAGGCCGCTCCGAAATCCGGGAGGGCTCGGGTTCCTTACCTAACGGCTGCCCTCGGGCCCTTCCTCCCCCAGCGTCCCCACC